ATGAAGGCCCTGGGCTGAAATGGATGGTGGGGCCCACTTCGCAGGAGACCGGCTCTCTCCCGTGGGCTTTTCCAGCTCTTGCATCTCTAGTGGAGGGGAACAGGTGTGTCTCTCCCTGTCTCCTGCCTGGTCCTCCAAAATTTAGGGTTGTGCAATAAAGCAGAAAATAAACCATTTTTGATAGGAAATGTACTTTCCTCCAAATGAATTTGTGACAGAAGTTTTGAATAAGGCCTAAAGTGATAGTATTATTGCTACACACAACTTGCTTTATATGGTGTTATTTTATTTCCAAATATGTACTGGATCATTGCAATTCTTATGAGCTGTAGGCCTAGACCTGCTTTTTGTCCCCTGCAACGCCTTTCTGCATCTCCCCAGACAGTGCTAGAAATCTTGAATTATACTTAAATGTATTGTTACTCCCAGACACAATGCTCCCTGTATAATTACCAATGTGTATATAGGAGTGTCATGGTCATTTTACATGGCTTCTTTGTCTGTCAGTGGATTTGCACTTTTGGATTTGCAAACCCCAAAATATTTCCCAGTTAGCCGCGGATCCTGCAGACAACGCTTTGAAGATCACTAGTCCAGAAATGTGAGCTTGTTTCATACCTGCATTACAGCCCTGGGTTTTTGCTTACGCACTGTTTCTGCGCTCTGCCGCTGCAGTCTTCCTTCCTTTTATCAGTCCCCAGGAATGATGTTTTCTACTTCAAGCTTTCTGCTTTGCTTGCCCAAAGAAGGGGTGATGCTGGGGGGGACTAAAGAAGCCCCCCAGCAGCCAGCGCTGCTCTGCAGCTGCAAGCGCGACTGTCAGCCAGGCCCATCTCTGCTGAAGGGGGCCAGCGTTTCGGGACGCAATCCCAGCAGTTGCTCCGCAGAGCAGGCTGTTAGTAGGTGGGAAGAACCAGCCCCACAAAATTATTGAAGCACCTGATTGCCTTTGGATGCTGATTCACAGCATTTAGACAAGTAAATCCCCTTGAAAATCTAGCTTTAAGGGTTTAGCACCCTCTGTAAGGGGGATTTTTGCTTGATACTATCTTGTTGCCCTTGATATTCTGGCTAAAGGGCATCTTGTGCGATTTACCATCGCAAAGTAAGAGAGCGTGCTAACAGCTGGCAGGACGTCTGTCTGAAAAAATCCAGCGCGAAATCAAACAAGCAAAGGAAAGTGACAGAAGAAACAGTGTCTTCTTCCGGCCAATCTGCTCGCCGAATATATTTAGAGTCAGATCTACTGCCTCTAATGACTAGTCTAAGCCTTTACTGTCTTTAGCCCCATTAGTCCCGGAGAGCCAAGACCTGTCAGCAG